GCGAGAAACCAGGACATCCCTGCTGCTTATATCGTGTGCCAAGATGATTCCTTGGATTGGATTCCACGCTTCATACGAAGCGCAGATGTGCCGGTGACTAGCTTTCCGCACTCGACGCAACGCAGTCAAACGCACTCAAACGCAAGTGTCTGAACCGGCCTTTAGACTGAGTGGGCACGCGGCCATGATTGGAAGGACAAGTCCCCGAACCGATGTAAATTTCAGTTCAAAGAACGCATAAAATGACCTAATAAGCCCTGTAACTACGACTTCAGTATGGATAAAGACACAGGAATAGAAAGTTCCATCCACAGAGAAGTTCACCAATCGATTCGAAAACGAACCTTAAAAAAACACCTTATTCGAAGACAAATGTCGGACTACTTCTTCGTTCCAACAAAACGAATGGAAAGTGCACCCGAGACAGGCGGTCCCAGACCAATCCAAGGGCTAATCAAAGATCAATCCAAATGTCACTCGAACGACACATCCCTAGTCCAATTTGGGAGGACAATCAACCCCCCCCCCCCCCCCCCCCAACCCTTCATCCAGACGTCGGTGTAAGAAGACGAATTCGGAAACATGTCCAGAGACAAGTCCGGAAACAAATCCAAAGACGGTTGGCTTTGTCGACGCGACCGTTGGTGGTAGCTTGAAGACGAAAGTGTCCAAACTCGGTTGGAGTGCCCCGTCTCGTTCCAATGTCTCGCGTTTTCTCGTAGAGGGTGTTCTACGACGTCCTTCACACGGACAGAGCGAGAGCTGAGCTGAACAGAGCAAATACACAAAGAAGGGAACGATAAACGAAAAAGGCAGAAAACCTGCAGACAAAAAGTACAGGAGTGCACGAAGTAAGAGGCCTTCCCTTTCCAAAAGAACAAGTCTAAAAAAAGAAGCGGCTACATTTGTTTTTGTTGTTAGTCTTTATTTTCCATAATTTTATGTTTAGGCAGTATTTGCGATCTTGGGGCTTTAGACATTTCTCGTTTGTGCTGACAACCGGTTGTTGTTTTTTTAGCCATACTGGGAGCGTCTTTTTTTTCCACACAGGTCTCGCTAGGGTCGAACCTTGCACCTTTTATTATGGTTATTATTGTTTTTATGAGTACGGTATTATCATTTCTCGTTCTTTTTTTTTCCAGCTTTTTCTTAAAGAGGTTTCTTTCTTTTTTTCTTTTTTTTTGTTTCTTTTGGGCAGGTTTGATGTCCAAAGGGGAGGGTAGCGCGAAGTGCCCGCACTGGTCCGTCGCCCGTCAATCACGGAGAAAGAGAGAGGAGCCTTCTCTAACCTTTCCTGGTCGCCTTCTCTCCTGCACGATGGGGAGCTTCCGAGCAGAGCACGACCTCGCAAAATGGCGAACCTTGTTTCTCTATTTACTTGCGTGCATTTCGCTCGTTGTCTATTCAAAAAGAAAGATGGAGAAGAAAAGGGCAAGCTGGCCTTGTACGATGAAGGGGGGTCTTGTGCACGATTTTTGCTTCACGACGGTCGCCACCGTGCCGGTCTCCCGTTGTTATGAGACGAGTGGCGCCTGCGCTCGTTGTTATGATATTGTTGCGCGCGGGAAGAAAACCTAGTCGTGAAGATCCAGTTTGGCGCCTTGTTTCGACGCTGAGATTCTCCCTGGCGTGCGCTTGCTCTTTCTATACTTTCTTTTTGCTACGTGTGGATAGGCAGCTACTTATCACTCCTCTCCCAGTCTGGGAGCTGTCCTTTTTTGAGGATTCGTGGCAAAGGACCTCATTATGCGCACTTTACCGTCAGCGTCCCAGCGGGTGTTTTAGAAGGCTTGCCCCTGACCTGGGGATGGAACCGACATCAGACTAGGTTCCTTCGACAGCTCGACGTCTGTCATCAATCTCCGAGTTATTCCATATTCCGAGTCACTCAAGAAGACTATGCTCACCCTTATTAGCGTCAAGAAGTTGCGGTGGCGCCCTCTTACGGTGTCTCTTCCTGACTTCAGGGCCAACGTTTGCTTTGCCATCACGTCACGTGTTCTGGTCCCGGCAACTTGTTATTTGCAAACCATACCTTCGAGTGTGCGAAAAGAAAGAAAGCTATAGAAGTTTGGAGTGGTCGCATTGTTAAGCCAACACCGTCAAAGATGGCATTCTGGCACCACTCCTATTTCCGTTGATGAGTTCAAAATGAATTCGACTGTAGACGTCATTGTGAGCAGTTGGCTAATCGTAAATGTCCACCAAACCGACGCCAATGCCGATCAGACACGGAGCTCGATTCTATGCGGGCACAAAGGAAGGGAGAGGACGACGCCAGAGAGCGCGCGGGACCATCGGAACAGCGAGCTCTGGTTGGAAGGATTAGTGAGTAGACGGAAAGCTAGCTGGCTTTGTCTCCATTCCCAAGTGCACTCACTGGGTCCTGGGAAGGTAGAGCCAGGCTTCCCGTATCGTCCCCGTTTTGCTTCGTGGAATCATCAGTTTCTCTTTGACTTCTCCGTTCTTAATCGGTAGGCCAATCCAAAATTCCCAGTGACTGATTGCCTTATAAAGACATTTCCTGTGTGGCGGGATTTTGGTACCCACACGCCCGGTTAAATGGGGGGCGTACTCCTTCCGCTGCACCACACGTGGCGTCGGGGCTTGGCGGCTTGCAAAACAAGTTTCGCTGTCTCCAAAGGCGCAAGGAAAACAATATCTTTGTAAAAGAGATCCGTGTGAAGATCTGCATGATCGATAAATTGGTTGCACACGCAGCGACAAAGACGCTCATAATGGCGACGAGCGCTTTCAGAAAAACGACGCTGCCTACAGCGATATTGGTACGACTGGTTCAAAATTAGCTTTTCGGAGCTTCGAAGATCCGAAGGTACCGAAATAGTGATGAGAGCGATCATCAGCCCATCCCATCGCGACGTTTCGGTCCTCTGTATGTGTTAGCGTCGGTTTGCGTACGGCTAACAAGCGGGGACGGCACTGGCGCTACTTTCCCCGGGATTCGGTGACTCCAGCCGCAAGTATACGCCAGGGTTGGCCGTTACCTGGTAGCTCGAGGTCTATGAGGGGAGTAACCACGACTGCGCCCAAAATTCCATTACGAGCGATCTATTTATACAAAGGCTTCTTTTAGCGCACTGATGAAAGTTCTGACAGAACTAGCAGATAATTAAAAAAAGAAAGGCGGCGAAAGGGTGGGGCTATGATGGAGTGACGAGTACCGACGTCACTTTAGGCCTATACTCCGTTGTATGTTACGGTGGACCGCACCGGACGCCAGGAGCCAATCCAGCGCCTTGCTAGTGTCACGTGACCTTAGGGAGTTACGTGATACGTTTTGACCGCGCTGGATTGGCTCGGACGACGTATGACGTCTGTCGCAGTCCAACATAAGATGAAGCGGAGTATAGTTGCGGTGATGTAGAGAGAGGAAGAGGGAGAGGAGGGGGGTTATGAGGAAGATTGAACCAGCTGTCGGTTTTGTCAGCCGTGGCGACCGGCCATTAATTTTGGCAGCGTCACTTGGCCCAGCGCGTGGAGCGTGTTTGTCTAAGCCCGCACGACATTGTTCTGTTTTTACTTTAGTGTAGGGACGATTGTAATGGCTCGCACTCCGCGAACCGTGGGACAATTTGTGGACGGCCATTATCCTTGGTCGAAAAGTTCCTTGGGGAAAGAGAGGCGTGCCTATTGTCGCACGTTCCGAACATTGCGATTGGCCGCCGTGAGCGCGTGACGTCAACGCCTCGTGAAGGCGATTGATGTGCGAATTTACTGGACGCCATATTTGAGGGCGCTGCCTAGAGCGCATGCTCAGGACGAGAAGCTGCTAAGACAGCCAATCTTGATCGTGTAAAATGTACGTTGCAAAAAATAATTGAAGCTCCCCACATCTAAGCTCATAAAATATATATATACTCGTTATTTGTTTACCGGTTGCTGGAAATAATTATAACAGTGTTATAAGCGATCATTTCTCATAGACTGCGCGTAGATGTCATCCCGCAATTACTGCTGAGCTTTCAGTCTATATTTAGAGATATTTAAAAAAAAAATTGATGACACGTTGAAGTCGTGTAGTAGCGCCGCCACGAGCACGCGCTAGAGGCGGTGCATCTTCCTATCCTGTCACCGACCATAGTTATACGGAAATCGGAAGTTTTCCATTGCTATCTGGTGGATGGCGCTAGTAGGTTTCCTCGCTGTAAGCGGTTACAAGTAAGCGCAACGCAGTCGCTCACCCTCAAACTTGGTTTGCTAAACTAGGTTTACCATTACGCTACGTAAGCAAAAGATACCGTGTCAATTGTATGGTGTGAACAATAAATACTCTGTGGACGTTACTGTGTGTACGGTACTGACAAGTGGTATTAGGGAGTTTTAGTAGATCGTTCCGATACCTCCGATAGCCCCGATAACGATACTATGCATGCACAAGGGAGGCGGCGGCGAAGTATCGGGATATCGTTATCGGAGTCATGGGAACGATCTACTAAAACTCTCTATTGTCTGAACAGTACGAGAGAGTTTTAGCAAATCGTTCCGATACCCCCCGATAACGATACGACGCATGGGCAAAGGCGGCGGCGGAGTATCGGGCATCGTTACCGGAGTCATAGGAACGATCTACTAAAACTCCCTATTTGTCAACGGTGCTGTCAAAACGGTTACTGTGGAGCTTTAGTGGATCGTTCCGATAAAGGTGTTCTATTCTCGGCGGACGCCTTCGGGAATGCGTCGCATCGTTATCGCGTATCGGGATCGGAACGATCTACTAAAACTCCTCCCTACTGTCTGAACAGTATTGCGTTAACGGTGCGTAGTATGAACTGTACTGACAAAACGATGCCATGTGAACGGTACGGTGTAAACGGTACGGTTTAACACTATACTGTGTGAGCAGTACTGACAAACGGTAATGTGGATGGTGTTGACGAACGGTACTAGGCCACTGTGTCAGCTTTTGTTGACTCCTATCGTAGTAACGGATAGCAGAGACTTAATCCCGGTTCTTTTTTTTTTCTCTTGTGTCTTTGCAGATCAGGGTGAAGCTTTTGTGAACCGGGATGCGCCCCCTCCGACTCGCTCAAGGTGCGGGCCGGCAGAGAAGCAGCAGCAGCCGCAAGGGAGTCTGGCGTAGGAGACCGACCGTGTCTGTGTGTGTGTGTGGTGCGACTTCACGTCAGAGTCACGTGACCAAGTTTGATGAGAAGAACGACGCCCAGAAGATCGGTGCGGAATGAGTGACGGGAAGGCAAGGAAACCTCGGCACGTCGTCCCCTCCTGCGTTATCCAGGGAAACGAGGAAAAGTGTCGGTGCGACTCTGAACAGCGGGGTCGGGACGCAAACAAAACACAAGACGCGCTACAAGCAAGCAACAACAACACCTACTACTACTACTACTAATACTACTAAAGCTTAGGACAATTTTTTACCAAGGACTTCAACAAAGTGCGAACTCGTGTTTGTGTTTGACTTTATTGTTTCGCCATCTTTTTTTTTTTGTCTTTTTTTCACGTTGTGTTTTACGTGCTTTTTACATAATGGTGAGATTGTTGCGTCTTGCGCTGTTTTTGTGTCGCTATTGCATTTTTTTTTTCACTTTGATCTCTTAATTTTCCATTCATTATATGTTGCTATCTTCTTAGTCTTTGTTTTTGTATGCTGCCTTTTCGAGGGCGCGGAAGAAGAAGAAAAAAAAAGCCTTCTTGGAGTCGTGACGCTGTCACGTCGGAAACGATGTTGTCGCTTTATAGGATGGCGCTGACGTCGACAGTGTTACAAGACGAGGACCGAATTGTCTGAGGAGAGATTTATACCCTACAAAAGAGAGAGAGAGAGAGAGTTTGAAGTACCGAGATTGAGCGGACGAGGCACACAAGTGTGTAGGGGTGTGGCTTGCTGTTTATTTCTGTTTCTTGTTTGTTTGTTTGTTTTCACGGCAAGCGGTGGGGTGTCGACCGCTGTTGGCGGGGCTAAAGACAAAACTGCAAAACAAAACAAAAAAAATCAAACAAAAACCGTGACATAAGGTTCATCTTAGTCAATCCCCTCGCATAACTATTTCCCTTCAAACGCCACCACATCTGGTGAAGAAGCAGAAGAAAATACGGGGGGTGTGCATTTTGGAAAGCGTGCCGACAGTGAAAGTTCATCGGAGAGAGAGAGAGAGAGATTATGATGATGGTGGTGGTCATGATGATGAGAGAGAACGAAGAAGAATGAGTAGTCATCGGACTGTTGAAGATGATGATGTGTCATTAGGACAAGCTAGGACAATTCCCCCTTCTAGCCCCTCCTTTTTTTTTATTTTTTTAGTATACTTTAGTTCTGAGTATGTTGGTAGCGGTTTTGACCTCTTATACATCATCGTACCTTTGACCTTTTTTCTTCCTTTTTTTTTTTTTTTTTTTCTTGTCACATTTTATTTTGACTTCATCTACGTCTTTCAAACTGCGTTGACGAGTGTTCGGTAGACAAGGAAAGGACTTTGCTGCGCGAAAGAGCCTACGCGAGGAGGGAACAAAAAAGAAAGAAAAGAGCCGTTGTAGGTGTGATGATGATGATTTTTTGAGTCGTACAATAACCAATAAAATAAGCACAAAAAAAAAGAGAACGAAGAGAGGTAAGGCGCCTGTTCCGCCTTTTAAAAGAAGAGCGAGTCGCCTTAGAATGTGTAGATGCCTTCTGAATTGTTTCGTAAAAGAATTATTTTCCTTGCTGCCGTGTATGTGCGATGACGACGACGACAAAGAAGCCTTTCAGCGATATTGATGCTTGGCCTTTTTGACCTCCCCGACGCGGGCTCCTGAAAGTGGGGGGTGCTTTTTTTTTTTTTTTCTTCTGCTTTTAGAAAGAAAGCTGGCGAGCGAGTGAGAGAGAGAGAGACAGAAAGAAAGGGTATGATAAAGGAGGTGATAGAGTGAACGTACGACGACTTCAGATGGTACCTTCTTTTGCCTTCAAACCTCAGGATGACCAACCCCTCTCGCCGTCGCAACGACCCGACAACAAAAAAATAATAAAAAAATAAAATAGCGTTTTTTTAATTATTATTATCTTGTTTTAGCAGATATTCGGGACTATAGACCGCCTCGCTGTTCAGAAAGAAGCCCGCGTTCGGCCACGCCAGATGTGGCCAGTGCGCAAGCGCAGAAACCAGTGTCACGTAAACCGTATGCTCCATCCGTCGTGCCCGACAGCAGCGCCACCGCAATCGCGTGACGTCAGGCCTGGGTGGGTCTATAAGGGAGAGAAGGTTATCAACGGGCTTATAGTGAAGAAAACGCGAGATAAAGAAATCTGGAACAGAAAATGATTTCCTACGGCGGTAATAACTGACGCGAGGTTTGAGTCGTCTTTCTACAAAAATAATGAAGAAAAAAAAAACGGGTCTTTGTTGCCACAAGAATGGGCCAAAAAAAAAAATGTTTGAACAAGCTGCAGGGGCTGCGTGCCTAGGTTCCTAAGGTTTTCTCCTTATATTTTAATGAGGATTCCGGGGTGTTCCGGGCTAAAGCCAGCGAGAGCGAGAGATAGCAAAGCGTTCCAGTATTTCGGAGTTTGACGAGTGTGGTTTGACACGTTTGCTCGGGCAAGCGGCAGCAAGTTCCAAGCTGAAAAAAATACAACAAACAACAACAAAAAAAAAACGGCGCCAGGTAGAGAAGAGACCCTTGTATGTGTGTGTGTGTTTACGCGTGCGTGAGCGTATGTATGTGCGCATGTGTGTGTCGGTTTTGCTTTGAAGATCATTCAAGTAAAACAAAAACAAACAAAAAAGCCGCTACCAAGCACAAGTCGTTTCTTAAAGGGAATGAAAAAAAGCGAATGAAAAAAAAAATCGACATGAGACTACCGAGTACGGACTTTAATTTTTTTTTGTCTATTATATAAATACTATAAATAAATCGCTATATATACACACTCGGAAGGAACAGCATGTATTATAAACTTCAGTATATGTGGGAAGAGCCCATCCCCATGTATTGCATCACCAACCACTTTATTCCCGCCCCATTCCCCATTTCCTCCTCCCCCCACTCTTTCGTGAGGCATTAAATGTCTGGACAATGAAAAGACTGCCCTCGTGTGTGGTTCATTCTTTCTGCGCTGCGCTCATTCTTTTCAGATCCTCGTGCGGGATCGTATTCTACACCCAGGTAAAGAGTTACCGACTCCACATTAAATTTTACATCTTTCAGCGGCTGTATCTTAACTCGTGAATTGGGGTGTGTGTATATTTTTATACAGCCTGGACTTCGTCTTTCTCAAAGGTCCCGGTGACTTGTCTCTCAGCTGTAGATGAGCAATTTAGCCAGTGCGGTACAGCCGCTAGCCTGGGGTCTTTAACGTGCACCACGCAGTAGTGATACACGACCGCACGCCGGTACGATGCTCATCCAGGTCGAAACGGGCAGGGGTGGGGATTGAGCTCAGGGTCCCTGGGTTCTGCAGCTCGAGCTTTGGCTCCACGTGCTCCGAGCTGGTATGCGCTAGCCCATTCGGCCAGCGATCCTCCTCTTAACTCTTGAAAGTTGTGCTGAACAACGTGCCGACGACGTGGCCTAAAAAAAGTAACCGAGAAGAGAAGACACTTATAGACACTAATGGTGTATTCGCGCGACAGATCTTTAACTCCGGAGAAAACGCTGTAGTAAGTCATATAGAGCTGCAAGGAGGAGGAGGTTGTGCAGAAAACCCAAGCGAGCGTTCGCACGACGGAATCACATGTAGTGGAGTCGGCGGAATCTGCTTTCCTGGACCTGCTGACGATATTCGGGGGCTCATCGAACGATAAGCAGAGAAAAAAGAAAGGCTCCCCAGACCTCAATGCTGTGGACCGCGACTCCCCGCGAGCTCGGCGGATTAGGGAACATCCGTGGCACATGACTTCAAAGCTGCGAGAATGTTAAATTCTCTCTGGGAGAAACTCCGTCGTGCGAGTACACCACAAATAAGCCACGCTTCAGCGTTGCATCAATACATCTTGGCGCTTTAAATCATTGTTGCCATCTCATCGCGGGAAATGATCTTGCGACCTCCGGTAATCTTTGACAGCTTTTTGAGACAACACCGCTCACAAGAAAATCGGAGTGCCGTAGTGCAGCTTATATTGTACCTTTGGCTAAGATAATACGAATTTCTTCGAGGTTCTTTCACTGTGGATAGCATAGCCGTCATCGAGAACCGCGACCCTCAGACGCCATGGAAGTTCAGGTGAGATTTGATGGGCCAGGCGCACGAAATACGGGTATATCTTGGCATGTTTGCTGTGTGCATGTTCATAAATCGTGAGGTGAACTTGTCTCGAGATACAGGTCCTCACTTCGTTATATTTTGGCTATGTTGGTCATCGCAGCAGGACCGGTAGTAGGAGGCTCTGACGTACTGTCAGCGGCAATGAGAGCTGGTCCAGCTTTTTGCTAACCGAAATGGACAAACCTCCGTGGGGAGCGTCCGGCGTGCTAAGTGTGCAAGCGACTGCCACATTGCAATTGACAGTAGGAAATGTGCACATTGCAGTTGACAATAGGAAATGTGGCAGTTTACATTACGCAAGTCTCTCAACAGCAACGTCCTGGGGATACGAAAAGGCTTTTGTGCCGCTTAGACCTGAACACCGCTGGGCCAGCTCATACTGCCGCAGCTTGTACATATACAACCGTCCTTGCACGGAAGCTTTACGGTGCAACGCTCATCCATGCAAGCAGCGGTAAAGTTGGAAGAATCTGTCGTACCTTTCAGGGCTTACAGCTCGAATTTGTACTCGAGCTACATTGGGGTCATCGTGGAATGCCTGGAGCCCTCTGTGTAAGCCTTCTGACTCAAGCCCATGTGAAAAATAACCCTTCAGTCCTGGTGTGTTATGGGGCCGTCTTAGTTCTTCAAACCCCTAAGCACTTAAGATCCTTTAGCCCTCCAGCCTTTCAGGCCCCTCACATTTTCAATCCTTTAGACGCCCAAATGACTTGGAGCCATAGACCAAAAGTCAGTTTTTAAACTCATCATTTGAGGTTTATCTCACATGGAACTTTACAGGCACGTTGAAATTCAGAAAGAAAATGACAACGTGTACTTAATTGCGGGGCAAGCGGTCGGACCAAAGGGGCAAGCGAGCTTTTTATCACCAAAATGATCTCTATGTACAATGTCGCTGGCATAAATTCCTGATATGTATGCAGCACTTAGAGTGTCAGCGACATGTTTAGCGAAAATCACGAACACGAAACCAACCCCCGCCGCCGTTAAAGCCCGATCTATAAAAAGTTTTCCGCAGGGTAGGAAAATTCTCCTCGCCACCCTTCGCATTTCCTCCTCTCCCAGCGATATCCTGACGGCGGGGAGATTCCTTTTGTTCCTGGATCTTTAGAGCTGGATAAGCCGGGAAGAGCTTCCGGCTTATCCAGCCCTAAGATGCAGCAACGAAGGGAGTTCCCCAGCCGTCAAGATGCCAGTGGGAGAGAAGGAAAATGGGAAGGGTGGCGAGAAGGATCTTACAATGTGGAAAATGATTTTGTAGGTCGGCCTTTTTGTGAATCCTGAGCACCCGTGTCGTGGTGGCGTCCCCAGCGTGATTTTCGTAAAGCCCTTTCATGTTTCAAAACATGAAGGGGCTTTACGAGGCACGTGCAACGTGCAATTTCACGAGGCACGTGCAACGTGCAGCCCTTGGGAAGATCATGACGGCAGAGCGCAGCACTGAGCTAGATTCCAGACGCCATGAATTTCCCAGAAGTGGCGCGCGGCACGTGCCTCCAGCATTTCTACAACGATGAATGGCGCCACTTTTCCCAGGAAAGAGGGGTTTTAGTTTTTCACTCTCTGGACGAGCTTTTAAAGCCGGGAGGATCAATAAGCATAAGAAACGGCGCTGATGGACCTCCCGTATCCGCACGCTGGGCGGTAAGAGAGGAGAAAAATGCCACGCGTGAGATGGAGGCCAATAGAGACCGTTTGTTGCGACCACCGGATGCAAAAATGGCCAAGCGGTTTTCCCGACGCATTTATTTATTTCCAAATCAATGCGTATAATCCGGAACGGATTAATTAGATACAAGTAAATGCGCATTAATCCTGAAAGGATTAATGCGTCCCCCTTTCCCCCTCCAATCCCGTTCATTTAATGAAAATATATTAACTTTTCCGTGTGGCAGGGGTACTAAACTTACTATTTACAGTCAACTAATTTACTTCTCTCTATGGGCTCGAGCTGCCTTAGAACAAGATTTAACTTATTTTGTATACAACAGTACTACCTTAATACAGTTAAGATTCTAGTATAAACGCAGTAAAGGCAATAAAATAGCATTAGTGTAAATAAACACACAAGCACAAACAACGCCCTTTCAATAATCACACAAACTTGTTATTCTCCTTCCAGTGAAAACTACAATATGACCACGCATATTTATAAATGCCGACGCAACTGCACATGAATAACGACGAAGAACAAGATTCCATTCTATCACAAAACTAAAGAAAAAGAAACGATTGCAGCATTTTATTTCCGTTTTACGTGACCAAGAAAGCCCGACTCAAACACAATTGTTGGTACGCCACTGGATATGCCTACCAGGCGGCTGGGGACGGCAGTTGCTGGGTGGTGTATACCTAGATCTCACAGTGTCATTAATTGCTGGATCGGGGGTCACGTGGTTTGCGGGCTGCGTTAGTAATATACGAGGTGCGAGAATGTGACGAAGGTGTCGACCGTCGGCGAGCGCATCTGCCTCGCTGACCGCTTTCCTTCTCACCGCGTGGCAACGCCGCGCATGCGCACTTGCGACCAACCCGCCCAGGAGACGTTCGCCATTCAATGGACACCCGTAAACGCCAGCGCCACCAGTGAGTGCTCCGGGGCATTATGGGAACTTCGAGGGTGTCGCGCCCTTTAGCCAAGCCAAGTCTAGCCTAGTCAAGCTTTTGCATGCTAGGTGGTGCACGCTACCGCCCGAACTGCAGTACCATTCCTAATTCATTCATTCAGGCGAGCTAGCGGTTCTCGAACGTCGTTAAAACAAGCTGCGTTTTTTTTTTTTTTTTTTGTTTTTTTTTTTTTAATTTTTATTAGCGTTGGAAATTGAAATGTACCAACTAGCTCAACTAATTCCCATTGCAAAACTTAAAAAAAAAAAAAGGAAAAACACGCTGGATGCTTGAGTGATACCTTGCTCTTTTTGGGCGCGTATCCGACGCGCGATGGTCCATTAAAAAAATAACGGTGGCCCATCCAGAGCGATGACCCAAACAAGGAAGGGCTGTGGACAGACGTGCCGCGTGCCAAGGTGCGACCAGAGAGTTATTATAATGTACGTTAGAGGTTAAAATGGCGCTGGTGTGCTGTGGCGTATTGAAGCAGACAGCAACCAGTCGAAAATTTGCTTCCGGTAATGCCTTTCTATGGGGAGAGGTGAGTGTATTTTTTTTTTTTTTGTTCGTGATTATAAGATAAAATGCCACGAATAATTCGTTCGTAATAGGTAGATCGGAACAGTTCTCAGTCACGCAGAAGAAAGACTTGCTTAGTGAAGGTGTTGTTCTCCTAAATTCATGGCATTAAAAACGGTGCGAAAACAGCTTCATACGGGCTTTTGTGCACTGTCGGATGCTAGCGCGAACACGGCGTCGGCGACGACCGAACGACATCTGGAAAGCTATGAACCGGCAAGAACTACGCAGTAACACTGGATAAGTGCATGTAGTGTAGACGATCCAAATAAATTTGGGCCACGTAATATAGTACGATTTGCAATAAATAACTACTGCTTTATTCTTTCTGCTCATGAATATGTGCGAAGATGCTTGTTCTGCGTTCAAAACGACACCCGCACCCTCGAAAATAAGGAGAGGCCAGAAAGCAAGTGCCTGATAAAAGCTGCCCGGCATAGAAAATAATAAAAGGAAACACCTTTCATAACCCACGTACTTTATATTTTACGTTTTGAATGTTTTTAACTGCTCGTAAAGATGCACTACGCGGGGTCATTTTAATATAGTGACACGACGGGCATATTAGCAATATATAAGCCCAGCCAGAATGCCGATGAAAACTTTGAACACTTTGTACATTATTTTCG